TCTTTCTTTCTTTCTCTCTCTCTCTCTCTCTCTCAATATCGGATAAAAGCTGTAATTTTCTGGGCTTTAAATGATTATATCGTAACCTCTTGTGACCCCAATTATTATTATTATATTATTTAAATACAGTAAATATACAACGTATACACTTAAGCCGTAACATAAGTCTTGTATCAGAAATTATTGGTTTAAAATTATGTAAAATTTTTAAACCCATATAAAACATAAATGAGATTTAAAATATTAATATTTGCAATTTATTATTTTACAATAAATCCAAATAAAATACAATAAAATAAATAAATTAAATAGAGAGAGAGAGAGAGAGAGAGAGTTAGAGAGAGAGAGAGAGAGAGAGGGCAATGAGAACTAGATCAAAACGATTACTTGAATACATATAAAACACACACATTTTCAATGTTGTGCATAACTTTTACTATATTTAGTATTCATTGCTTTTATAAAGAGTTTAAATTTATTTGAGTTTTCATTTGAAAACAGATTTTATATCATTCATAATACATACCAACTCTCGCTGTAGTTCTTACCCCATATTCTGTACTGCATTCGTAAGTGTCTTATTATTTATGCAAATGTTTGCCAATTTTGTGATCAAAAATACATTTACTTTTTTATATCAAAAGATATTTTTTACAAAGGTTTTCAATTATTACAAATGTGTCAATAAGTTATGTTGCAGTTCTGTTCTAAAAATTGTTTACAATGTTGAAAATGTTACCTTGTTAATTATTAAAACTAATTTAAAATTTTATAAATATTTTATTAAAACTATAAAATAGCGATAAAACCTAATAGAAATCGATAAGCTGTACATTTGATATATAAAGTTTAGTTTAATATCACATAAATAACTTTAATCAAAACTAAAACGTAACGTTCAATTATAGTAAATCATTTTTCTAGCTCTTTCTAATGTTTTATAAATGGCAACAAGGTGCAAAAATTGGGATCGCCCCCAGGTGGGCTCGAACCACCAACCTTTCGGTTAACAGCCGAACGCGCTAGCCAATTGCGCCACGGAGGCCCCTTGAAAACCAACGACCATAATCACAACTTATCACCTGGCCTTCAGATTAGCCATACATGTAATGCTTTTATGGATTAATTATTGCTGTCATTAAAAAATACACATAACAGGTGTCTGTAGTCGTAATTAAACACATAATAATTTCCACATTTGAATTCATATTTGACAACAATTTTGAAATAATTTATTAAAATATTATATTTTATTTTATGGGATATATTTGATGTTTAATTTTTAATATGGTTTTTAAGTCATGAAACGATTTATTTTTGATTTAAAGATTAGATTTTACAGAAAATATATAACGATTTAATGCTTTAATATTAAATTCGTATAATTTATTTCAGATTTTTATATATAAACCTTTAATTGGACTCAAATATAACAATGCATTTAGTTATAAGTGAAAATCACAAAAAACAGCAATCATTTGGGATTTAACGTCAAATTTTAATTACGTTAATATTTGAATGACTTAACAAACGCTACAAATAAAGTATTCATAGGAATAACAATCATTTTATTTATTAGAATATTTTTATTACTGTAAAAATGATTACATATTTAGTTTATAATTGAGAAAATGATTTTTTATTTAAATATTTAATAATAACAAAAATTAATATTTAGTCAATGATTTAAATTTAGAAAAAAGGTATTTTTATCTGTAAAAACATTATAAGTCACTTGTCTTAGATCATAAAGCAACCTTATATATTATTATTATATTGTGTTCTTTATCCTTATTTAAATAAGATTAAGAATCATTTTTTCTGAGAAAAAATAAATTATTTTTCGTTTGTTTTATTCATAAAATGAAATAAAATATAAAAAATGAAATTTAGTTAAAATATATTGTGATTCCGTTTCGGAGTTGAAGTCAAAGCAACAAAAATATATAGAAGAAGCAAAAAACACACGAAGAGTTTCAATAAAATTGATTTGTTGTTGAATTCAGTGAATGTTTTGTTTTGTAGAGCAAAGGCATCGCAAGACAACAGCGCTCAACGATGGCATAAAAGTGCACAAAAATCAAAGCACCAGAACATCAAGACATCAAAAATCTAAATGAAAGCCAAAAACTTAAGGCATTGCGAGAGAGAGAGAGAGAGAGAGAGATTGGTCATCACATGGAAGTAAACTGATGTTTAATTCAAACGTTTTTCCAGAAAATTATTAAATTAAAAAATACTGTCGAAAAATGTGTCGAAATAAATATCAAAATTTGATTTCATGAGCAAAATATTTATTTCGGCGGAAAAAATCCATTTTTGAAAACACGAATTGATTTCACAGCTTATATTTTGACGATCATTATGTGAATTACAGCCCAAAGTGTTTTTCATTCATAATAAAGTTATTTGTTTGTTGACTCAACATTTGTTGAATAAATTATGTAAATTCAATCATAAATTTTTTTATTCTCTCTCTCTCTCTCTCTCTCTCTCTTCTCTCTCCATATTTTTACTGCAATTTTTAGCTAAAAATATATTTTATTGTAAATGTATAAAAATATGTATAAAAATCAAAGCATTTCGACAAATAATGAATAGTATAAGTGGGGAAATGAGCTGAAAAATGTAATGTTTAGTAGTTTTTCGCACAAGTCTTATGTGAAAAACTGATGAGAAAAATGGCATCGACTAAAAGAGACACAAAAAAACAATTTTCATTTCAAACAAAAGTAATTAACAGTTAAAATATGTTACGATTTTTCTCTCGTCGTTGGAGTCAATGAACACTTTCCAAGAGTTAGAATAAATTATCTTTTCTTAACAGCTTTTGAGATGTTTTTCTCTTCAATATCAAAACAGCCGTCTTCATATGATCTTCAGTAAGTAAAGTAACACAAAATAGTAGAGATCAGTTGAGAGATAAGAGATAATTCAATGAATAGATAGATAAGTTAGCTCGCGAGGAAGTTATGACCAATTGATTTTTCACAAACGATCGATCATTTACTCCCAATGTGTATAAATTTATATAAAAGCTATGTTTATACAAACACTCAATGAATCTAGTTATATTTAACAAGATTAAAAACCAATTTATTCAACATTTGCTTCAATATCAAAAACTTGCAATTTTCACATTAATTAAAACTATTATTATATTTTTAATTGTTTGTGATTAATACTATAATTAAATATAATGGAAGTACAACAATAGAAGAATATATTAATTTTAACTTAAATGATACAAATCTGTAAAAGTTATCTTAGGCAAACAGAATATAAACAATAATATCAAAAAAGTGGTCAATTCTAATCAATTTATAATTATGATATCTTTTTAATAAAGAAACCATTTTATTGCTTAAGAGTTTTGAAGATTATTTTAATTTGTTATTACTTACAATAGAAATGAATTCATTTGAGTGAATGTCTACTCAAAGACATTAAAGAAAGCAAATTCTTGATAACATTATGGAACCGACGTTTGACTTAAGAGGTTAGGAGTGGAGACATCGGTTTAAAACGAGTGCATCTAATTTAACGATCATTTTCTAAACAATCACAAAAACTGTATATATTCTTAAGACTAAACAAACAATTTTAATACCACTTATTCTATTATTTCTAAAAGTTGTTGAATCAATTTATTTTACATTTTTAAAAATTCATTTGTAAATTCTTGTTTATTATTTGAATTAATCTGTATATAATTTTATACTATTTTCACATTATTATAATTGTTTTGTATCTTTTCCATATTATACACAGTATTTATTGGTATTACTGACCAAAATATAATAATAAATTCTAATCAAAAATACTACTGTATATTGAATGCAATAAATAGATGCAAATCATGTGTTCGCGTCTGTAATCAAAGTTTGTTAAACAAAGGGTTATAAAACGGTTCTCTTATTAACAATTCGTGACAAAACGTATGAGAATAGGGTTTTGATATGTTTTCATAGGATTAAGTTTATTGACTGACTTTCAGCTCAAATTACACTCACTATAGGGTTTTGGATGTGTTTTACTGGAATAACACCACTTTCTATGGGTTCAGCATTTTTCTTCGACGATCTCTCCATTTGTATCCAATATTTAATTAATGTCTAATGAATAGTAATGAATGTATGCATAAATGAATGAAATTACTGTGTAAACTAGGGATGGGATAATACATGGAAAAGAATTATCTGAAGTATGGATTGTGTTTGGAGTTGTGTTGATGTTAGTTGTGATGGAGTATGAGTAGTGAAAGACAACATTTTAATAAATTTGTAGTTATAAGCAAATTATACCACATTTATAAGCTATAATATTACCATGATCGAATTCTACATTCAATTCTACATTGATTTCATATGTGATATGTTAGTATTAACTAACTTATATATACCAATATAAGTGGTCACTACGACTGAAACCGAGGTCAGACGTGCATATGAACTGTATTAATGGATAACTTTTTTATTTAATCTAGTTTTATTTTATAAGACAAATAACATTTAATTTGTAAATATTTTGTAAGCGCGAGTCACCGTCATTGGTGCCAGATGCCTTCATAAAATTATTGCCGACTTTATAATTAAAGTATTATTTTTTATATTAAAACTTCTCATTAATTAAAAAGTCTTAAAATTTAAATGGAATATAAGTTTACAATTACACTATCATATCATATAACTTAAAATGAAGTCAACATTTAATTTAATTGGTTTCAATTAATTACACAATATTCAACAAACTTCAATTCAATTCTTTAAATATGTCAATACTGTATAACAATTATTTAAAAATAAAACAATTACAGTATAAAGAGTACCCAATAAACACATATTAAGCGACACAAGTTGGTCTAGGTCGTTCAAAGGGATGCGTTGAATTGAGTCGAACCACGTGTGTTTTACAAGTCTGTGTTTGCTATCATAACAAGTATTGAAAAGACACTTTAAATTCAAGTATATTGTATGAAATGATATGGTAAAATGAGTGCACTAAACAATACATACAAAACATCCTTTCTCATTCTTTTGGATCCACGGGTTTGTGTCGTTCTCCTGGCATTCTTCGTATTTGTGAATCGCAACCTCGAGTTTATACGTCTGTCCATCCCTTGACTTCTCGCTCTCATTTATCTCGAGTTCCCTTTTCGTGGGTATAACGGGTCCGAAGGCGAAGAGAGCCGCTTCTCTCACACCGCTGTCATTCACATCGATTGGAACGAAATTTTCATATTCAGCCAATTCTGACACTTTTAATTCTAAACTCAAATTAATCAAACATTACATTAATCTACTGTTTTATAGTAGAAGTACTGTACTGTATATTATACCGAATGTCTAACGTAACTAAAAATCACATTTTTCTCAATAATGTTAATTATTAGTATTGATTTATTGTATAAATTTTATTTTAATTAAAAAATTCTCATTAATTAAAAATATTTTTAAAACTTGAAAGCAATATGGGTTGACCAGTTCACTGTCATATTATATAACTAGGAACATCATTTTTGGGTATCAGGCTAATAAAAGTTATTAATTAGTCAAAGACTGACAAAAAAATGATCTATTCAAGTAATGTTAAACTCATAAAATAGTTATGATAATCATTATTGTAACTGATGTCGAGTGAAACTATTGTATTAAACTTGAAACAACTCACACAACAATGCTTTACGTTAACCACAATTCGGGTGATGCTTAAAGAATAATTAGAATTAACTACATATTTAATATGAGTCATATAGACTTGCCATAGACTTAGTATTGCTATGGACAGCACTGTTCATAGACTTAGCATCGCCATAAACATAGCAATGTCCACAGGATTAGCATTAGTCCCATAGAGTTATCCATAGACTTAGCATTGTCAATAGGATTTGCATTAGTCTCATAGACTTAACATTGTTGATAGACTTAACATACTCATAGGATGAGGGAGGGGAAGGGTAGCGTCGAAATACTATATACCACATTCTTCATACTGAATTGTGGTTAAAAATAAAACAATCACAGATATGAACCAACCATTGCAACCTTGGTTGCCGCGTCGAAATGGATGCGTTGAATTGTGTCGATCCATAATCGCGTAACAAATCTTTGTTGACTATCATAACAGACATTAAAAGACACTTTAAATTGAAGTATATTTTGTGGACAAATGGAATCAAACAAAACAATACATACTCTGCATCCGTACACTGTCTTTATGTGTGTATTGCTGTAGTCCTGCGGACACCGAATGTATTTGTGAACATAGACCTGTAGTCTATACGAGTGTCCGTCCGATGACACTTTGCTTTTCCTAATTACAATTTCCCTTTCCTTTGGTTTATTGCGTCCGAAGGCGTAGAGAAGCACTTCTTTCACACCGATGTCATTGGCATCGATGGCAACAAAAGTTGGTTTTGGAGTCACATCTGTGCCGTAAATACAGGTGATTCCCATCAACACTAGTGCTACACATCTAAACATTTTCATATCCCTCATCACAACTCAACCTCTTATGAAAAAATATACGTTTGTCTCGAAATAAATATGTAAAACCTCTACAGAATGTGATTTCTTTCGACACAACTATCAAATTGTCTGAAATGTGAGCGAAGAGACCTTTAATTGATACACAGTTTACACCCCATATAACACAATCACTGAGAGTTTAATATAATACTGTTATATTCGGTTTTATATTATTCCCATTATTGCTCTAACATAGGCCTACATTTACTTTAAAGCTGTAGTTATTTCGTTAAAATTAATATATAATTAGTGATTGAATTGTTTGTCTGCGAAAAAAATTAAATGTAATTTTATTTCTAAATTTAAATTGACTGAAGTAAACATTAAAATTATATTCAAATACTGTTTTCTAGCAGAAGTACATTACTGTATATTATACCGTATGTCTAACGTAATTAAAAACCACATTTTGCTCAATAATGTTAATTATTAATATTTATTAATTGTATAAATTTTATTCTAATTTAAAAATTCTAATTAATTGAAAATATTCTTAAAACTTGAAAGCGATATAGATTGACCATGTACATTATCATATTATATAAGTTAATGTGAAATCTAACATTATAAAGTTTATTGTTAATGAATAAAATGGAAATTTTTAAAATTATTTTTAAATTTTCGAAATTAGTTATTTAGATATCATTGTAAGCATAATTAAAATTGATATAAATGATTACAATAATTACGTTATTCAATTAAAAAACACGAATAACTGTTACTAAATTTTAGTTAGGGTGGAACCATGATCTCTGCATATGTCCCAAAATGTCTATGAACAATTTATTACTAATTATTAGTCACGTAATTTGAATAAATTTTTTTTATAAACAACTAGATATATGGAATTTTATTTTACAATTAGCAGATTTGATCTAGCCCTTCTCGTTTGGAAGTAATTACAAATGCGCTTGGACGGATTCAGTTGGCCGCCAAAATACTTATACTGATTTAACTTCAACCCACATCTCATGTATTATTGCTCCCATCCTTAATGTAAACCAATATTGTCCAACACATACACACTATGGCTAACAATAATAAACTCCACGTTTGAATCCTAACTAATCCCACGAATGTATGCTTTAGTTTTTACGACAAGAAATGTGTACACAATTCTCTGTCTTTACTTTAATCATTTAAAAACCTATTTGTAAAAAATTTAATATATTTGAAGCGCTTGAAGTGCTTTCCTGCCTCTCTCTCTCAAAACACGTTTGGATTTAATTAAGACAAATAATTTCACTTTAACTTATATGATATGATAGTGTACTGGTCAATTCATATCGCTTTCAAGTAATGGCCAGATAAAAACCACTTTGTTTTGTTTTTTTGTTTAAATGCAAAATTAGTTTTTTGAGTGCATTTTTCCTAGAAAAACCGTTGAGATCACAAGCTAGTTTATAGCAGAAGTACAGTACTGTATATTTATACCGTATGTCTAACTTAACTAAAAACCATATTTTGCTCAATAATGTTAATTATTAATATTTATTTATTGTATTTTTATTTTAATTTAAAAATTTTCATTAATTAAAAATATTCTTATAACTTGAAAGCGATATGAATTGACCAGTACACTATCATATCATATAAGTTAAAGTGAAATCTAACATTAAAAAGTTTATTATTAATGTGTAAAATAGACATTTTTAAATTTTTCTAAATTTTGAAATTAATTATAATTGTAAGCATAATTAAAATTGATATAAATGATGTACAATAATTACGTTATTCAATTTAAAAACATGCATAACTGTTACTAAATTTCTTAATTTAGTACGCTATAACTTTTAGCGATTGTCAGATTTGGGAAATTCCTTAACAAGTTAGATTTAGATTTCTTTTACTTTTCCATTGATATATCTGATAATTTTCTCTATGACTAGATATATGGAATTTTATTTTACAATTAGCAGATTTGATCTAGCCCTTCTCGTTTGGGAGTAATTAAAAAATCCGTTTGGACGGATTCAGTTGGCCGTTAAAATACTTATATTGATTTAATTTCAACCCACATCTTATGTATTATTGCTCCCATCCTTAATGTAGACCAATATTGTCCAACACATACACACTATGGTTAACAATAATAAACTCCACGTTTGAATCCTAACTAATCCCACGAATGTATGCTTTAGTTTTTAGGAGAAGAAATGTGTACACAATTCTCTGTCTTTACTTTAATCATTTAAAAACCTATTTGTAAAAAATTCAATATATTAAAAGCGCTTGAAGTGCTTTCCTGCCCTCTCTCTCAATCTCTCGGGACATCAGTTAAAAAGCTCTCAAAACACGTTTGGATTTAATTAAGACAAATCAAAATAATGTAATTAAAATCCTAGATATCTTCAGTCGTTTCCTGTATAGACATTGAGTAAAACTTTTTGAATCCATCGGAGAATAAACAGAATTTAAAAGTTGTATAATTTTTTTCATACTGTCGTCAAAATTCTGTGAATCCAATCCATGCGATAGAAGGAAAAAAATGCTACGAATTAAAAGCCGTTGCAATCAAAGAAATATATAATTATTTTTCGTTTGCCATCCAATTGTTATGTTGAGTACAAAAGTGTTGTCTAATCCCTTAAGGCGTGCTTTTTATCTAATCGTCAAACCGTTCATCAATTCTAATCGTAATTGTTTTCACTCATAGAGAGTCGTCTTCGGCGGCAGAAAACCGTTTTTCCCAAACACTAAACCTAATGAATGGATCGAAAGGCTGACTGTTTTGTTATACTTATCGCCCGGAATAGAGACATCACTTTCCGCATTAGACTCTTATAATCGCTTTTAATGACTAGTGTTTTGAGTGTTATTTAAATTGATATGTAAATGTAAATGCTATGCGAATATCGCATCCAAATTAAATATAATAGTTATAAATGAATGACATCTCATTTTGAGGCTCTGCTTTTTATTGTTTAACTTTAATCTCAAAAATATTACATCAAGAGAGAGAGAGAGAGAGGCAGGAAAGCGCTTGAAGTGCTTTCCTGCCTCTCTAGTCTACAGTGCTGTGGATTAGTGGCAATCGCTTATCGTAGGTATGATTGGGAATGCAATAAGTTTTCCACTCAATAATCTGTTTAGACGATTGATTATAATCACAGATATTGAGAGAGAGAGAGAGAGAGAGAGAGAGAGAGAGAGCGATTAAACAATATCGTTAAATTTATGGAAAAATTATTTATAGTTTAAAAATGTCGAGATTCATGAGGCGTTGGGTCGACTGTCTGTGTGTTGTATTTTGAAAAGTTTATTTAACTTTTTTATGTTTCATTGTTTTACTGCTCTCTCATTGTTCGCGAGAATCACTGGAAAAATGATAATCAAATCAAAAGCTTAAAAACAAAGGAAACAAAAGGAAACGAATATTTGTCACAAATAGAAGTCCATTAAGAAAATGGAATTCTAAAGCAATTTATATCACATTTACAACAAGAATAATAGTTTCTTAAAAACTTCAACTCAAAGCTAAACACATATATTCTCATCGCTTCTGACTTTCGCCTCTTTGTTGACAAAAATTCAATAATATATTTCTCGCATTTGTTTTATGGGTTTCCATGAAATTAATGCCATTTCTTAAAAGCAGATTATTATTATATAACAGTAATTACTAAACATTATGTGTTTGTTATTTCTTTATACAAACCCTAATCCAAGCGCTGATGAGTACTGTTTAGTCGTCGCCAGCATTAGAGACGAGTTCTTTGACCGCCCGAGTCGTCGGTGTCATCGATGGGAACAAAATGATCAGATTGTCGGAGGTTTGTAGCAATGATTTTGTTATTTATATCATTTTCTATACAGCATTAATATAAAAGACATTAATTTCAAATTTAATTCATATGTTATGATGTATTACAACCAACTATTGATTGGAAACGAAAAGCAAATGTTATGATTATATTGTATAGTATTATATTAAGTAAGGAATATATTATTCATTATTTATGCATCAATCTTATGGTAAAAATATTTTTGTTCTCTAAATATGTATTATTCATTTGTAAGACCAATGGATTATAACATATAATCATAAATTTTGTCATAATATATATTCTGTCCATATATATCTATATGTATATCTTAATCCATATGAAGGGCTTATATGTCTAAATGATATGCATTTGCTTTCCATTTAAATAAATTTAATGTTGAGAATAAAAGTTTATGATTAAAAAGCATAGAATTATCGATAATAAGCCCAAAGCGATAAAATGAGGATCTCTTAGAAGAATTAAATTTAATAAATTGAGATTATTTATTATGTAATTCCATGAGTGGTTTATAGCGACAATTTGCTAGAATTTAAAGAATATTAAAAGTAATAAAAATAATTTATAGCTAAAAGAAATTCGTGTCATTTTGATAGGAATGGATTTGTCTAATAATAATAATGAAAGCGGGACTTGGCTTGCGATGAATACCACGGGCAAAGTCGCCGCTTTATTGAATGTCATTAAACCATTTGATTCAATAGAGAATAGAAGATCGAGAGGTATTGTCGAGAGAGAGAGAGAGAGAGAGAGAGAGAGAGANCTCGACATAATCAACATTTCCTTTGGCATCAATCAAAATAATTGATTGCGTTCTGTATTATATGGTGAGAGAAAAGTGTGCGTTGGGAGGAGAGAGAAAGAGAGAGAGAGAGTTGATTGAATCCCATTTGAAAAAACGGTATTTAATTATTAACCAGTATTTTTGCCATTAATTTACAGGAGTTTTATCCGTTGATTATCTGTCGAGTGATTTGGAGGGCTTTACTTATTTAAAGACAATCGCAAAGCAAAGCAACAATTTTGATGGATTTATATTCGTTACGATTGATATAAAGTTCGTGTTTCTTGTTTTACAAATTGATAGGCATTTTCTTTACGGACAGATGTGTTTGCTTACAGACAACCAAACAATGAGGTAATGGCAGCGTATTTAACAAACATGGATAACACAAATAAACCCCATCCACTCAAACCTGGTATAAATACAGTGTCTTTAATGATCGTATTGTTTATTAATGCGATGAACGCATTGTATATGTGTTGAGCCCATAGGAGTGCATGTATTCGGCAATAGTATACCAGAGAATCCGTGGAGAAAAGTCCGGTTCGCCAAAAGAAATTTCGCTCAACTCTTGTCGGAGAACCGAAAAATTGCAAACAAAGAGCAATTAGTGGACAAACTGTTGGAAATGATGAGCTCTGAGAAGGAGTGAGTACTGAATATAATACTACAGAATAATACTGTAGAATGCGATCAACGAAAATGATAATGTAATGTGTGTTCGCCGTTGAGATACTTCCCCGACAATCAACTGGTGAGGGATGCAAATGGTTTGCCACTCAATGAGCCGCTCATAAGAAAGTTGAGTTCGTTTTGCGTTTGGATTCCGAATATATTATTTGGTTCGAGGAATGAATTACTTTCTCACACAAAATGTTTGGTATAAATAATAAACTGACATATATTTGCTTCTCTCTCTCTCTCTCCCTCTCCCCTTCCCTCTCCTCCCAATACACACTTTTCTCTCACCATATAATACAGAACGCAATCAATTATTTTGATTGATGCCAAAGGAAATGTTGATTATGTCGAGAGAACAATGCCTGAGCCCATACACACCATTGAGCAGAGAGAGCATAAAGGAGAGCATAGGCGAGAGCATACACACCAACACAATCATCACAATTGGATCACCACTAGACTAACATTGCATTTGCAACACAACAGCACTCTATCCATTTCACGCCTTTAACATCGGATCTCTTTTTACATAACACTTCCTCACAGACTAAATGTTTGTCTCATTTAATTGAATGAAAAAATTGTGTGATAACTGACCCAACATTTACTATACATACAACTCTTTACTCACTGTCTGTGGTGTCAAATATAGCGAATCACACAATCATTAATGTTGAGAATCTCATCAATACTGCCATTCAATACATGCCATACAAATGTCATTGTATTAAGATTTACTGTTAATCACTATTACACCGATTATTTACTCTCTATATAAATATAATTATATACATTGACTCAAAATCTGAGATCAATTTCAATTGTAAAAATTATTCAAAAGTAACAATACATGTATTGAAAAACTTTAAGGGGTTTTATTACCATTTATTATATTGATATTTGAAGTGAAATCAAAGTTTTTCTTTTTATATTTTGTGCCTATTTTTATACGATTTAAACATAGATTTATGGCTCAATTTATTTAAATTTGATTCATTGAAAAACAGAAAAAACAGAAATGAATAAATTGGACGTGAAATGTGAGTTCTCTATAAGTTTTTAACGTTATATCAAAATATTTACTTATTGTATATTATAATGAATTCAAAGTTATTTCTCTCTCATTCATGTGATAATGTATTAAATCAGACAGAATTGAATATCAGATTAATATTAATGTTTTCCTTTATTATTCGTTCAAATGATTGAAATAAAAATAAATTCACATTTTTTATAAACAATAAAAAAGTGTTTTCAACCAAAAATTTACTGAATATTAAAAATATTATAGACTTATAATAAAATCAAAAACAAGAATAATTGCAAAAAACAATATTTATTTTATAGTAGTTTTATTTTTTGTTAACTTATTATAAATTCGTAATAATTTTTATATACGAATCGTGAGGTTCTGTAATAATATCTCTGCGAATATAATATATAATATTTACCATAAAATTATAAAAACAAAAATTTAATGCATTTTTGGTTAACAGAATTTCTATGCATAAGAAATGCATTGTTTTTGTGTTGTTTTATGCAATAAATCTCATAAAAACATTACGGAATTTCGTGGCAAATATTGGCAAACATTAAGTTTGCATACATATTAAAATATTAAAAACAATCATGATCCATTTAAACTTATTTACATATATATACAAACATTAATAAAAGCATAATAATTGATAAAATCATATGAATTCATAACAGAAAACCAAAACCAGTGTTCAGATGAAAGCACAGAATATTCTTTACCTAACAGTGAATGCATTGAAAAGCATTGAAAGCACAGCCCATAAGCCATACATAACGACATCTATTGAGTGATGTATTCATGAATTGTTTGCCATTTTATTGGAACACAAAATACACCGAAATATGATTTCTTCTCCAATCAAACGGTTCTCTCTTTGGAGACAATCGTATGAATCGGTTGTCAACACAACCGGCGCTGTCGGAGGCGGAGACACAACACGTGCTCAACGGGTCGTCACCTCTCATACCAATCACACGTCCGTCCGATCGGCGCAACAGTTCACCCGGTATTACGTCCACAACACTCATGACCACCGCTAACATCACCCCATCTGATCCCATAGGTTGGCCGAAGTGGGCCGACTCGAGACACCCAAACTGGAGGGCAAGTACTCGACGGGACAACTGCTTCTTCACCGGGTGTTTGGCTATCGGGGCGTAACTCTGTTCCCGTGGATGGCAAGAGTGTACGACAGGGATGTCTCCCATAATACAAACACAGCCAACAATAATACCAATAGTAATCGGTTTGTGTCCACCGCTCAAACCCGAGCCCCAGTGGGACATCACTCTTACCCGTTGTGTTGATACTCTCTCGCAGGACAACGACGACAACCACTACCGCCTCCACCGCCGCCGCCGATGAGGCCTCGAGTGCCGGCTATAACACAGTGGGCCGTGAAGTGAGAGGACACACTCACACCTACTATCAGGTGCTGATCGACACGAGAGACTGTCCTTTTGTGGTAATGTTATGATAATTGAATAATTAAAAGCCTGTACTGACCGGTGTGTGTGTGTTGTAGAGGACTCAGACCGAAGCGGTGACATTTCTGGGCAATCAGGAGAACAGTCGGTCGCTGTACGCCATCCCAGGCCTGGACTATGTGGCCCACGAAGACATACTCCCGTACACGTCCACTGAGAAGCAGCCGATACAACACGAACTCTTCGACAAGTTTCTGATGTTAGACCCGGAGAAAGACCCGCCGTATAGTCCGCGCGAGACGTTGAGAGCGTGGCAGGAGAAGAACCATCCGTGGCTCGAGTTGTCGGATGTGCACAAAGAGACCACAGACACCATTAGAGTGACTGTCATTCCCTTCTATATGGGTTGTCGACACTCACAGAATACTAACGTCTATTGGGTATTGTCTTTGAATGAATACCATTTGATTTAAACATTTCTATATTGTTTTGATGTGTTTTTTCAGTGGAGATATTGTATACGATTAGAGAATTTGGGCGAAACGGCGGTTCAGTTACGGGAAAGGCATTGGAGAATATTCAGTCTCTCGGGTACTCTGGAAACGGTTCGCGGCAGAGGTGTTGTCGGACAGGTATTGGCTGTCAATTATTGCATTTTGATATACCGTTTAATTGATAATTGATTAATATGTGACTTAATTTCTAGGAACCGGTTCTCTCCAAATCGTTTCCGGCCTTTCAATATAGTAGTCACGTGAGCCTACAGGCGCCCAGCGGTCACATGTGGTCAGTTGTGACACTTATAATGCATTTGTGTCTGAATTGAATGAAATAATGTAAACAATTGTATTGACAATTAGGGGAACCTTTAAGATGGAGAAAGAAGACGGCACTACATTTGACTGTCGGATCCCTCCCTTCACTCTGGAGAGCAAACCCGACGCCAACAGTCCGTCGCCTAACGCTAACACATAAATAGTTTAATTATATGTAAAGTTATTTGTATTTAAATTAGTGAACAATTTTAAATGAATTTATTGTATATTTTAAGTCATTATTAAATACTTTATTTGTTAATAATATTAAAGAGAATTGGTTTTTGAAAATGAAATTTAATTTTTTATTATTTTAATAAAACTTAGATTTGAAACTATAACTATTAATTAGAGAAACAATGATATTATTTATAAAAATGTATTAATATTTAAAAATTAAAATATATAAAACATGTTCTGTTGAGGCAGTGGTTAATACCCAATCAGTTTGAAAGTATCACATAATGAATACAATATTAAAATTGAAATATTAATGAAATACAATATTTTTAAAAAATTCATTTCAAATCAACGAAACAAAGTTTAGGACAATTAATTTTGAGATTATTGACACACATTTCACTGATGTCTTGTATCCAGTTTACAGTATTTCTGGTGAGAGTTATGCCTCGGATTTGTCGGAATCCAGACAATGATATCAACGACTCGTCGCTGATCTTCACGTACTCTACGTTCAAATACTGAAGGTTTGGTAAATTGTGGCCAATATTGGCAAAGAATGTGTCCGTAAAATACGTGGCCTCTAAATGCAAATGAGTTAATCGCTTCAATGAAGACAATGAATGGCTGGTCAGCGGCTCTCCCGACACGCGGTTAATACGAAGATGTAGTCGTTTTAATCGTGGAAATCGTTCACTAATTGCATGAATCAAATCCGGTGTCAATTCCTTGATAGAAACGAAAAGACTCTTCAGACGCGAACAATTGGTACCAATTTTAGCCAATAATGAGATCAATTGTTGCGATGACAATGGCCGGGAAAATATGGTAATTTTAACAAATGCCCGCATTGGCCGCAAACAGATGGCCAAAGTATTAACCGATGATTGAGTCAAACTCCATATATCAATAGTTATTGTCTTTATTTGGTGCCCGTATTGATCCGCAAACGCACCCAATGCTGTCATGTCTTGATCTTCGAGGCATAAGTGAATACTGTTAAGTCGTTTAAACCGGCTTTCGGTCACCGATTGTAATGATAGCGATGAATGCGAGCGAATGATATACAATGTCTGCACATTTACACACATTTCCACCCATTTCTCAAGACATTTCTTATCCGCTCTTAGATTCGATATATAGAATGAATTTGTCTCCAATTGTGGACCAAATGTAGTAAAAAAATTATCAATTGTTTCGACACTAATGTTATTGAAGTTGACGCCAATGTCCGTTAAATGAGAGCAATGTTTGATCATTAGATCAATCGCTTTGTCTTCGAGAGAATGAAATAAATGAATGGATGAAATATTTTTGCATTTCTTGAGAATTGTCTCAAATAGTCTCCAATTGTATTCATTCTTCTCGACTTTGTGGCCAAATGTGGACTTAATTCGGTTCTTCAATGACAGGAGTGTTGATTGAAAAGTATTGAAACGTTTCTTTGGGATTAAATGAATGCCAGACTTGTAATCGATTGATAACACCGTTTGCCTCTTATAGACCACTCTTTTCCACTGTTTGGATACGCATTCATATTTGAATGTCTCCTCCAGTGAGAGATAGGAGAGCAAGAGTTCGCACAAATCGTCACCGAATCGGTCCAAAGAATCGGAAGAATAGGTTTTCGCCATTTTTGGCCACAAAATCAATTTAAACTCAAAAACAATTTTTGTGATAAAAATCAATACAAAAATTAGAGACAAAAAATGAAGTGAAGTTTGGATTGAATGCCAACTCTTTGTTCACTTTCTATACAGTGCTATGGATTAGTGGCTATCGCTTATCGTAGGTATGATTATAATTGCAATAAGTTTTCCACTGAATAATCTGTTGAGACGATTGATTATTATCAAGACATTGAAAGTATAGATAGAGATTGAAATGTTTTATTCATAGTTTTTTGAACTCAATAAACAAGGATTGCACGGCATCTGACATAAACACCAATTCATACAATAATCTATGTTTTAACAATTAGTAAATAATTTTAAATGAATTTATTGTATATTTTAAGTCATTATTAAATACTTTATTTGTTAATATTATTAAAGAGAATTTTTTTCGATTCTGAGATACAATAGTTGTAATAATTCTTGACTAAAATACAGAGCAAATAATTTTTGAATGATTACATTAATTATGAATAAAATGTAAGTTTTATAGATAGAAACAAATGATAACTTATTAGTTAATAAAATTTAAATGAGTTATTAATGACAAGTGATCGGACGGGTAGTTCCCGTTGGGCATCGGTTTCGTCAACTGTTGGCTCTCCGGCGACACAATTGCTGTCACTTTGAAGTGATTTTTGGTGAAGAATATGTAATCGAGTGTTCGCTTCAATTCCTTCTCCGACTGGCGTTTAGTCCAAGTCGTGAAAATGGGCTCATCTTTCAGTCCCTCCTTATATGCGGAAACCATTTGCGATGTAATTGTCTTATAAACCGATTCGTTTGGTTCGGCGTTGAAGTCTCCGCTCAACACTAATGGTATGTTTTTGGCCTTCTTTGCCAAATACTTCATCAAATCCTTTCCTATTACACGAAAACATGTTTATGAGTATAACGTTATCCAAGAATTGTGTAATACAAGTGTGAAAGCAATGCAAACCTTGTTCATTGCGAAATACGGACAGAATGGGGCCTCTCCTGGCCTTGAGGTGAGTGGTGGCCACACATACCTCACGGCCTGACTCTATGTGCTTGAATGTGGAGCAGAGGACCACTTGATTGGTCTGATAATTATATACACGTAATATTCGTTTTGAATATTTAATTAAATCCAAACGATTTAGTTTCCAGAATATAGCGCATCCGTCGGGACCGCAATTGTTTTCCATGTAATTACACGGAGAGTCAGGTTTGGGCACAAATATGCCTCCGTATCCCAGTTTATTCAATATCCCAATTAAGTAATCAAAGCAATCGACCTTAAGTTACATAAAATAATTAATTTTATGTTAAATTAAAATATATTTTTGACAAAAACAAGTAATTGATAAGAAAAATGAATATTGTATTCGTGTTATACCTCTTGCATACATATGATGTCAATTGGAGAATAGGAGAGCACTTCCACAACGATCTTCCAGACCCTCTTAGACCAGTGCAAGTCGTCGGCGCTTATCGTATCGAACCGGTCGTAATGAATGGCCAAAGCTTTTTGCGAATATAATTAGTTTTATTAATCAATCAAATTAAATAACAACTAAACAATATTATATTTTTAATTAAAACAAATAAATTAAATATTTATAACTGCGATCATAATTGGGTCAATGTTTTTCAAACTCCTTAACCCGCAAAACAGGTTAGTCTGTCAGTCATTCAGACAAACAAACTTAAAGTTTTGTTTCAATAAAAAGTTACGAAAAAAATGTTTATCAATACTTGTGTTATACCTTCTGAGCATATATTCCAAGACATGATTCTGATTCCATTGGATTCGCTTGTGTTTCCCAAACGAATCATTCTTCTGGATATCAAACTGGGATCGTCTTTGAGTTTAATGTCACAAAAGTTCATCATTTCTTTCGGTTCGCACCTCTCATCCAAATTTTCTTTACATACTTTCTTATATTCCAGTTGTTGTGAAGTTTTGATTGCATTTATTAATGAATGTGTGTTTCCATCGCTTTATAAATCAAAAGAAGTTTAATATAAATAAATTTAATTAAAGTATATTTAAATGTATTTATTGTTTAATATTCATAATAAAAATGATTAAAATAAAAAGTTTGATAACAATTATTTACCGAATGATCTGAAGTACTAAAGACTTTCTCCTATTATTTTCTGTCAATGAATTCTTAATCTCTTGTTCTAAAAGGAATTGCTTTCTATTATAGACACTGTAAAGACTGGGAGACAACATGTCTCTGGAAGTGATCGTCAGTTTATAAGAAGAGAGATTGAGAAGTAATGAGAGCTTTCGTCCAGAATGTGATTACTTTTATTTTATACCAGAAATTTTTAAATTAGTATACATTTGATTACAAGGTAACCAAAAACAAGGCTAAACCGAGACAAACAATGCATTGCATTTTGGCTGTAATTTGCAATTGTGTTGTTTTGAGCCAAAAACCACCACAACTTGTGCCACAACCACACCATCAGTCTCTCGGCTAATCTTTACTACTATTGCCTTAAATTGTTGTCAAACTAATCGTTGAAACGTTTTCTCTAAACAAACCAGATTTGCATTCATTTTCTTAAACCCTATCTCAATCGCTAATCACATAAAACTTAATCTGTATTTCATTATAAAATTTTCCAATTCTGTGAAAATATTTAGTTATAAAAGTTTTTATATTTATAGACACCCATCAGTTGATAAGTATATCACGTATGGATTCACTACATTTGCATTCATTTATATTTATGGAAATAATTTATTTAAATTATTTATAGCGAATGTAAAGGAATATAATTGGAAACAAAAACTTTAATCAATTAATAAAATGCGATGAAAAGCAAACACAAGGTCTTTGTAATCATAATTAATTAATTACTTAAATTGAATGCAAGACTTTGTTTTTGTACTAAATTTAGAGTCAGATTTTATTTGAGATATTGTTGTGAATTAAATCACTTTAAAATTTTAATGTATCGACCGATCGATTGATTAGATTTTTATATAAATAGTTCTTTGAAAAGAAGTTTAATTTCTTTGAATTTCTTGAAATGCCTGAAGACTTTCCGGAAATGTATAATCATTTCTTATTTTTATAATAATAAATCAATAAAAATGATTCATAAGTTTATATTTTGTTATTTTTACCAAATAATTAATAATCATTGATTACAAACTAAACATATTTTTTAACAAATAATAATTTTTATATAAATATTTACTAATATTATGTTTATTGTAATATCAATAACAATCGTAATCATAAGACAAACATAATTTTAGGACAATTATGCAATTCATTGATAAACAGTAAGTGGGAGTTGAGATTTGTTCAACATTTTTAATGTCATTAAATTTATTTGCTATAATTGCAATTATTTTTATAAACAAATTTTATATTCAGTATTTAAATTTATTGTAAATTGTATTTAATTTATATAAACTAATTAAAATTAATTGTGAATATATGGTAAATCTTACACGTACAATTACCAGGTTTGTAGTATATACCATGTTTAAAAAAGTTTGGGTTAATAAATACATTTGGGTTAAATATGAAAATGCAAATATGCCATCATTTTATGTAAATTTGTTGTTAAAATGAGGTTTACTTTAAAATCATTTAATTAATCTATTTCCAGATGTACTGCAATAGAAATACCATTAAATATAGTCCATATCATTTAGCTTACACTTCAAATTAGTAATACTGAATCACATATTTACCGATCATGTTGTATCCGCTTTACCATAATCTTAGATTCCATTAAAAGTTGTCCATGCTCAATTTTGTTAACACTTTAGTTTTTAATAAAATATTTGGATTAACGAAAACATATGAAAAATAGTTTTTACTTTATTTGCATTCATTGAAAATATTAAATATAATATAATTGACGATATAATCGATGACTAGTCGTCCCAATTGTCTCATTATTTATAAATACAAAAACAAATGATTTACTTATATATTGATAATAATATGCATTATTTTTTAAAAACGTATATATAATTGAAATCGCATTAATGACTGGAAATACTTTAAGATCCTTTAGTTTTTTTACACTTCAATAAAATCAATAATTCTGTTATCAAATCAAATAATTACATAATGTATAGAATTTTTTTAAAAACATAACAAATAATCAAACTCTAGATGTATTCAACCAATAGATTAAAAATGGTTATTATCTCTCGGAAGCATTCTTCCACTTGTCGTGATCGTCCTTTCGTGCTTCGGGTGTCAATTGGTTGCGCATTCCGACCAACACATTGGACGCGCCCTGCGTTACGCCTATGATTGGCCGCACAATACTCGACGGTATGTTACGCACGACACCTCCCACTGCGCTGGGAATGTCTTCGGCGCCGTAACCGGCGTTAACCATGTCTCTCATCACGTCGTGAATGCCATCCTTAACGTACGCGTAGCCGACGGATAGGCCTTCGCGTAGGTCTCGGGGCTGCGCATTGAGCGCCACAACTGTCGACTGTCTGTGTCCGGGTGTGGGAGGAGTGACCACATCGTGAGCGAACTGAGCGGCCGTTTGGATCAATGAGACCAAACGATTGGCCAAATCGAGTGTCGCCATCGCTGTCGACGCCGAGAAGGAATGGGCGCCTCTTTGGAGACCGCGAATCACGCGTTTGTCTCGTCTGTACTGATCGATAGGCATCCAAACCAAATCTCGCATTCCTTGGACTAAATCAACAAAAATAGTTTTTCATTATAAACAGACAATTATTGACACAAACTATAGCAACAAAGCATGACTTACACAACTGAATAAAGCTATGCATCGGTCCAACGCCTCCCAACAGAGCCGGCAATTGGTTTCGTTTGATATCTTTGGTCCATTCGTTCAACACATATGACAGCACTTTATCAAAGCCGAGTAAACCTTGTTTGTTATGCAAACGCTTCAAACGGAGTTCACTCTGATTGAGTTGACCCAACCCTAGGAACAGACCCTGAAGTGCTCCCTAATTGCATATAATATCACTTTTAATAATTAATTATCAAATGATAGATAAGACAATAAATTACTCGATCGAAGTCGACGTGCTTTCCGTGATAGTCAAGACTTATGGGAACGTCGGGTGCGAACGATAACGATCTGAAGTACAACTTATTCGAGTCGTCGTTATTCTTGAGAGTAGTGGTCGACGAGACGGACGTAACAGTGCGTTGGGTGGCGTCGGAGGCAACGCTCGCGGTGTCGCTGAACGACGGCAAAGAGGTTTCGTCATAATTGTTGGCAACCATTGTATTCATTGTATTCAACGCCTGTTGGGTCTCCTCTACGCTCAACGTCTCGATGACTGTCGTGAAGAAGTTGGCGATAAAGAGGAGAGTGTCCTGATCTATGTTGACGCGCAACGGCTTCACCGATATCTTGAGTTCGCACTCCTCTTTGTTGTCGACATTCTTGAAAGCGGTGGCTCTGATGGATATCATGTTCACGTGCTTTCTTCGGGGCATACTTTCCGAGTAGTACTCGTAAAGCATTTTCTTGATCTTCGAGGCCATCACTCTGTCGATGATCTCGAAGTCCTGAACCATAAACACGAATCTCCACGAGAGGGCAAAGTCCTGATCGAAATTCTCGAACAGTGTCTTCACTTTATTGAGACAAATGGAGACACACGTGTCGTTTTGACGCTTTATTCCTCCCATATATTTGAACGAATTGTTTGCTCTCATGTTGTGATTAGAGTGGGAGCCTCTGATGGGGAAGTGTCCGCCGGACTCGAGGTCTATATTCTCCCACATATGCACCGATCCCTCGGCGAAGCGAACTCTTGGCTCTGAACTGTAATAGGATTTGTTTGATTTGTGGCTTTTATAGCTTTTCGTATCGTCGGCTCGTTTGTCAACCGGACTGTCACTCTGGGTGTCGTCATCGAAGTCTCGGCCGTCATATAAATGCAATATCAAAGTCATCTCCTCCAAGAAGTATCGGCAAAGAGTTGACGGATTGATGTCTGGTATTAAACGCTGTCGACTAAGATTAAAGTGATTCTCGACAACAGTGATTGGCTCATCGGTTAGAAACCGGATCTGCGGTTCGGCCGTCATCTTGATTCCGGTGCCAAAGTCGCCCTCACCCAACACCCAGAACCCGCTCTCATCCATCTGAGGGCTGTCACACTTTGGACAATTTGGGACTTTGTCAAACTTTGGCGGCTCGTCATCGCTGTCCTCACTGGTGGTCACCATTTCCGGGTCGTTGTCTCCCATCGCGTCTTCCATTAGTTTGTCGTCAAACGCATTCTCTGGTGAACTGCTGTACAAATCGTCGTTTTCAATGTCCATATTGTTTGTTGAGCTCGAAGTGAGAGAACTAATGACT